TGGGCACAGGGGAGGGGTGGAGAGAGGGAAGGGGTGGACAGAGGGGAGGGGTGAGCACAGGGGAGGGGTGAGCACAGGAGAGTATGGACAGGATTAGCTGGGCGACCGGGGAGAGCTCGGGGCGTCTGAAGCCCTGTCCTCCGCACCGAGTCAGGAAACCAAGGTAGCTACGGAGCCCGGCACTCTAGACGCCGGTGTTCCCGGGCCCCGAGGCCTCCCGCGGCCCGGGTCCCCCGTCCGCCCCACCCGGGCCAGGGATGCGCCCGGCCAGGGCCCGTTACAGCCCCGCCCGCGCCGCTCCGGCCCTGACCTCCCCGAAACCCAGCCAGTCTGCGACCCCACCCCGAGCCGCTCCACCGGCCGCCGGACCTCCGCCCCGCCCGACCCCGCGCGGTACCTGACGACGTCCGCAGCGCGTACCTCCGCCCGGGAGCCAGCGCGGGGACACAGCTTAAGGCGACGCGACCGCCCCGCCCCCCGGCCGTGCTCGTCGCCCATTGGCTGGCACGGAGGGTCGGGCACCAATCACGCGAGGCCAGCCCTCGCCCCACCCACCCAGCCTTGAGCCGCGGCAGCCAGAGGCTGCTGTGCCTCCTCCCGCGCTCAGGGGCGGGGATGTGCGCTCTCGACTTCGGAGGCCTCCCTGCTGCGGGGCCTTAGCAGGCCAGGAAACTGAGGCCCGAAGGGATGCGAGTCTGCTGATCTTCCGGTGCGTGTCCGAGGCCGAGGGACCCTCCAGGTCCTTGCCTGGAAGAGCATCACACCAGTTCCTACTAGACGCTGAGTCTCCTTGACCTTGAACCCTGATGTCCCCGAATGGCTAATGGATGCTTCTGAATCCACCTCTGAAATCATCGCTGCAGCTGGAAAACGCTGCCCGTCTAATGAGAAGCTGTTGGAAATGATGGCAGCATGCTCAGTACAGATTGGCCTGGCCTGCCCTCCACCACTGGGTTTGAAACTCAAAGCCTAAAAAGGATAACAGACTCGGAAGGAATTTCAGTATCATTTAGTCTATAGCATACATTGCAAGTCAGAAAACAGAAACGCAGAGAGGGGGAGAGACCCAGATTTATCCAACTGACAGGACTGTCCAATCCTATTGCTACCCACAGCCCTGAGGGCGTCAGTGTCTGTTCTGTTGCACATACTGCTGTGAGCACCATGATTCCCTGCCCCACAGTCAGCCACATTCACCAGGGTCAGCCAGAAGTAGATGACACACTCTAGCTTGGAAATACATATGTGGGCTAGTAAACCACAAGGCCACCTGGGTTTAGTTAAAGCACTGGGGAGGGCCAGTGCTGGAAGTGTGGTTTCCAGAGCCCAAAGAAAGGAGTGTGAGAAGAGACCAGCCGAAGGGAGCTGGGTGCTAAGCACTGGATTGCCCTCCTGCCCCAGTTCTCCATGGACTGAAGGGACTGGGAGGCCAGGGGCCTAAGGAGCCTGTTAAGGCAGTCCCTACAGACCTCCCTGGACACAGAAAAAAGGTGGGAAAGAGGAGACAAGCTGGGGAAATGGTTCAACAGGAAAAATGTTTGCTGAGCAAGCATGGGACCAGAGTTCAGATCCCCAGCACCCATGTAAATGCTGGGCTTGCAAAGAGGCCCACCTGGAAGCCCATTGTTCAGGGAGGTGGAGATAAGGAAATCCTTAGAGCAAGCAAATCAGAGAACTCTAGGTTCAAGTGAGAGACCTTGCCTCTATATACAAGGAGAGCAACTGACTTCCGACATCAACCCCTGGCCTCCCCACATGTGTGCCCACATACATGTGAACACACATATCCACACAAGCAAAAAATGAAAAAGAGGGTAGAGGGACACACAGAAAGCACTGAGCAGCCGTAACTGGCAGAGTCTTAGGTGACATGTCCGGCAGAGGCAGGAAAATGTGTGGGCTCAGAGACCAAGGCAGATCCAACATCTGGAAGTGCAGGGCTCAAGTCACAAAAGGAATTTGACCCTTCTTCACTCACTTTGCTCTAGGCCAAGGTCATTTGCTGAGACTGTTAGTTCTTCTCCCTTCAGAGCACACTTCAGTCATAACTTCACCTTTTATTTCCTTGAGTCCCTTCACACTGTGACCAACTTCCTGAATGTTTGGTCCTTCTGCCCCTGAGATCAGAAAGAAACTAGGTCTCTGTGGCCTGCTCTGCAAACCTGGGCAAGTGAGGCCAGAGCCCAGGAATCCTTAGTTATTATGCCTTGGCAAGCAGGAGAGGAGGAGTTCAGGAGGGAAGCTCAGTATAACACCAAAACATGTTGCAATGACTCACAGATAAGGTGCTCATTAATGAAAAGGTTTTCATAATCAAGAAGCCTCTAAAAACGTCTAGGTTTTTTATCACTTCTCTTTTATCAGAGAAAAACAAAGAGTACAAAGAACATGCCAATGTTTTACGGTTTCTTGACTGACCGTTGTGTTTTTGCTTACTGTAGCCAAGACAGAACAGCCTACACTTGAAAGTTACCTTTTTTTCAACCAAGAAACAGCTTCTCTGTTTATATGCATTGTGTTTTCACAAGCTACAAACCTGAAAGAACAGTGTTCATTACAAAGATTTTGGAGTCTTTGAATCTATCAGTAGATTCTACAGACATGTAAAACCTAGCCATAAAGACCGATCCTCCTAGCAGATAGTCAAGATCCAAGTCAGCTTCCTCAGTTAATTTGACAAATGTCCCTGTGTGTCACAGGTTCCTGACCCTGTGTGGAGTTCCATATCAGGTGAGACCATGTGAATAGGGAGGAAGACAGACTGTTAGGAAATGTTCCTTCAATAATTACAAACAGAAATCTTGCAACTTTGACTTTATCCTACATATGACGGGAACAAACATGTTCTTATCTCAGACAGTTCTCAATATTTACTGACTAGAGAAACAATTTATGGTTGCCAGGCATGATGGCACATACCTATAACCCTAGAACATGGGAGGCAGAAGTAAACTCTCAAGACGGGTTTGAAACCAGCCAAGACTACACAGCAAGACCCTGTTTCAAAAAAAGACCAAAGGGTGGCAGTGAAAGAATATGGGTTGTGAGGCCTTCTTTTTTAATTACTTCACTGTTCAGCATATAACTTATTATTAGTATAGACTGTGTAGACTTGGTGTCACACTTTTAATAATTTGGAAAATCCATATTGAAAACCAAGGAGGAACTCTAATAATGAGCTTCAGAAAATGGATTTTAGTAATTTTCTAACCAACAAGAGAGAAAACTTTGGCAAATCAGACTCCCCCTAAAAAGATGTCTTCCTAACTAAAGGTCAAGCACCATTCAAAATCTGTCCCACCTGCCCTCTGAGTTGGGGCAGGTTTGGAGTAAGTGGGGGTCATCAAGTCTACCATGGCAGAGATCTGGCAGGGGCCAAGGAGAGCCAAAGAGGGGTAGGCTGGAGAAGGTTCTCAACCTATGTCTGAACTAGAAGTTGTAGTCAGATGGAAAAATTTTGTAATTAAAACGTGAAAAATTTTGTAATTAAAATGTGGATCCTAACATAAGGAGATGTCTGTCAGAAGCATCTAGTTTTCTTCCCCATAGCTGAAACTTAGAAGCCTGCCTTCAAACCCAGTCTTTCCCCATAGACAACCCTGACTCCCCCAGCTACAGGACTGTCCTTTCTCCTCCTCCTCCTCCTCCTCCTCTTTCCTCTTCCTCCTCTTCCTGATCCTCTCTTCCCCTCCTCCTCCTCCTTCTCCTGCTCTTCCTCCCAGCTTCCTGTCCTACCTCTGAAGCCATCACTCTCCTACTGTCTCTCCAGCTTTCTTCTCATCTTCCCCAACTAGTCAATGCTGCTTTGTTTTTTTGTTTTTTT